CTTCCATCGCTCCATTCACATGATCAAGTGCTGAGGAAAATCCCGGGTCCCATGAAACCTATATAGTTTTCTACATATGACATCGCCCTAGTAGAACATAAACGCTCTCGAGAACGCTCGACGTGTTTCAAAAGTGGTCTTTGGACGTCCAATGTACAATAATGAGCACCATTTGTGCGCTCAGATGAGGTACCTTTTGATCACGAAACATTCTGCATTTGAAGGACGTTTGTCGAGCGTATAAGATGCTTCCCTAACGCACATCAATGAGACAATGACAATGACATCAGACAATGGTTTGAAGCAAAGGTTCGCACCATCGACGGTAGATGGCGCCAATATAGTCCCTAAAACGTGTCCTTTACTGACATATCTGGATTCATTCCCTCTTATACCTTCCACAAGGTAGCCGATCTCTCTCTCCACATGAACCAGAGCGAAAGATGCTCGAATTCATGAACAAATTGGTCTTTAGGGGGCAACCCAGTCCAAGGAGACTACAGAGAACTCTGGCTCGAAAGTTCAAGGGAGGAGGGTTCAATGTGACTTTTAGAGGAAGAGAGATATAAGGTATATGATGATATTTTCAGTATGGCCACATTGCCCTACGTTTCTCTACCAGACTATCCCTGACAACTGAAGATGTTATCTTCATCCAGACTAATCGTATATTTCATTACTTCTAATGCTATCTACGGCAGCAAGGCTCTCTTTGGACTGAATCCAATTTAAGGAAGAAAATAGCGCATCCAAAATGTTCATTACATATTGGAAGAATCTTAAGGCGGATAGATTTATTAAACCCCGTTTTGGAAATATAAGATTCACGTCCTTGATGAATGCACGTAGTTCAGGGAACGCAAAATTTGAACAGTTTCTCATCGCTTTGAGTTTTGAACATTAAATCAAACAGTAGAAATATACCAAATACGTTAATGGAACGCTGCGTTCAATGAAACGTTGCTTGAACACGTTCGAGTTCTACTGGGATGGTAGTCCCTGAAAATCATAGTGACTCCTTCCACCAACAGAGCACTTCATTTCCTCCGTTTTGCAGCGGGTTTACCTGCAACTAGTGCTAATCCTATACTTTAATTCGAAGAGCCCGAGAGTTGTGGTGGTGGTTGTCACCCCGGCGCGCGAGGCCTACAGCACAGTCACTTTAGGCCATTCACCTCTCAAAGCGCCAGGTCCTTCAGGCTATGTTACTCTAGGTCATAGGCTTGGCCATCCAACGCTTTTAGCGCCCGGTCCATCGAGCTATATCAGTCTGAGCCATAGGCTTCATACTGAACTTAGCTGTGTCAATCGAACGATGGTAATAACTGAATGCGTGTCATGTTTTCACTGATCGACTGCAAGTTCTCCATCTGAATACATTCTTTGATCAAGTTCTTGAATCCCACATGATTCATGTTCATGGTGATAGATCATGTTGAAAGGGATCCCACAGGACGGCGATGAGGCAGTCGCTACAGATAATAAACAATTGGTGCTGCCGCGGAAACAACGTTTGCCACTGCAGTTGCGGTGCGAAGTGCCTAAATCGATGCTTTAGGAGGTGCTAGCCATAATGGCTAGAATGACTACTGAACAGTACCCAGTTGCACTTAGGGAGCGTAAGGTCGAACACCAAAAGGCTGCGAATGCAGAGCTCAGGAATAGAAAAGCCATGCAGCATGCTGGGCAACTTGATGCAAGGAACGCAACTCTCAGGTGTCGAAAGTCGGTGGGCAGCTGGAAATTTAACCCGGACCTCTCATTTGCCAGTCAGGTGTGCTACCACGGAACTCGGGACATTTTGTCAGGCCTCTCCATGTCACCTCAAATCACTACAGTCTTTAGTGCAGCGAGCACGGTCAGGCTGCACATTTTGCTGTAGGTAGGGGGCGGCCATTCGTTTCACATTGCTGCCACAACGGAAAAGTGTTTCTGCTGCAACTCACACTTAATGCTCACACTGTTGTTCACTGGTACTAATGTGGAGGCGAGGCATTTTTAGGAATTATTCGTTAGTATTCTGTTGCACATGCGCTAAATTCCCTCTGTGCTGAAGTCGAACAAATTCTTCGAAACGGCACGTACTGTTTCAGAATCAGTAGTACCTGTACCATAAGCTAATGCTAATAACCCATGAGCTAATCGGTGATGCAAGAGTAGCGCTAAATTCCCTCTGTGCTGAAGTCGAACAAATTCTTCGAAACGGCACGTACTGTTTCAGAATCAGTAGTACCTGTACCGTAAGCTAATGCTAATAACCCATGAGCTAATCGGTGATGCAAGAGTATTGAATTTGCTGGGAAGAAGTTGTGCTGGTGGCTGTCACCTCAACGCTGCAAGGCCTACGAGACTAGATCATTTCAGGCCATGGGCTACTCCATCCACCGCTCAAAGTGCCAGGTCCATTAGGCCATGCCATCCGTGGCCATGGACTAGACCATCCACCACACAAAGCGTCAGGTCTATGGGGCTATGCTATTCTAGGCCAAAGGCTTGACCATCCAACACACTTAGCGGCCAGGTCCATTGGGCTATGTCAGTCTGAGCCATAGGCTTCATACTTACCTGTCAAGCAAAGGGTGCCACGAACTGAATGCGTGTCACGTTTTCATTGATCGACTGCAAGTTCTCCATCTGAATATATTCTTTGATCGTGTTTTTTTTCTGTATTTATTTATTTTTGGGGGGTGGAGATTTCTTTATTTTAGCCGTAATGGCTAGAATCAGTGACGAACAGCAAGCAAATATGGGTAGAGCCGCTCAGACCGCTGAACAGCAAAAGGCAGCGAATGCTGAGTTCTGGAATAAGAGATCATTGCAGCCTGCTGAGCAATAGTGGTGGCTGTCACACCCAACGCGCGGTCCTACGATACCACGCCATTCTGGGTCATAGGCCAGGTCTACTGCAGGGCTATATCTGGTCTATGCCCGAGGGTAGTGGTGGTTGTCACGACAACGCGCGAAGCCTACGACACTGTCACTTCAGGCCATAGGCTGGGCCATCCACCCCTCAAAGCGCCAGGTTCATGAGGCTATGCTATTCTATGCCATAGGCTTGGCCATCCAACGCTTTTAGCGTCAGGTTCATCGAGCTATTTCATATTTCGGTCTGAGCCATAGGCTTCACACTTAGCCGTGTCAATCAAAGGGTGGTAATAACTGAATGCGTGTCACGTTTTCACTGATCGACTGCAAGTTCTGCATTTGAATGCATTGTTTGCTGAATTGTTTTTTTTTTCCTGTATTTATTTATTTCGTTAGGTCAGGCATGGCGGTTTGGGACATCACTTCCATGCTATAGTTTTCTGTTTGCGTTTCATGTCATGACCGATTTGAGTTCACATGATTGATGAAATCAAAATAACGTAAGTTATTTGTTTCATACGTCGCGCAAACGGGTCGCTCCTCCCATTAACATGGCGATTTTTGCGAGGTGAGGTTGAAGGCGAAGAAAAAATGTTAAAGGAGATCCCATAGGACATGAGGCAGTCGCTGCAGATAATAAAGGATTGGTGCTGTCACGCTTGCCACTGCAGTTGCGGTGCGAAGTGCCTAAATCGATGCTTTAGGAGATGCTAGCCATAATGGCTAGAATGACTGATGAACCCTGTTGCACGTAGGGAGCGTAAGGCTGAACAGCAAGAGGCAGCGAATGCTGAGCAGCCGGGCGGCCGGGAATTGAACCCGGACCTCTTGCTTGCCAGTCAGGTGTGCTAACATTACACCAGGGAACTCGGGACATTTTGTCTGGCCGCTCCATGTCATCTCAAATCACTACAGTCGTTTGCGCAGCAAGCTATGTCAGGCATTACATTTTGCTGTAGGGAGGGGACATTTGTTTAACAATGCTGCCACAACGGAAAAGTGCTTCTTCTGCAACTCACACTAAACTCTTACAGTGTTATTCACTGGTGCTAATGTGGAGGCGAGGCATTTTCAGAAATTATTCGTAAGTATTCTATTGCATATGCGCTAAATTCTCTTTGTGCTGAAGTCGAACAAGTTCTTTGAAATGACCCGTACTGTTTCAGAAGCAGAGGTATCTGTACCATAAGCTAATGCCAATAACCCATGAGCTAATCGATGATGCAAGATTATTGAATGTGCTAGGGAGACGAAATCAGCAAAGTCGTCTTGAGTCTCATGAAAACTTGCTAAACCGTTCACAATGAACGATTGTGGCAATCACCTGGAATATCATGATGATGGTGTTTAAGAACAGAATCTCCTAGAAAATGAAATTAAGCGGTTCAGTTCCGAATGGGTAATGCGATGAACAGAGGATTGTCAAGGAGACGTTATGCTCACAATAGACGATTCAAATTTCCACCTGTTAGACGGCCAGCGTAGCGGCCGCTAGTAGTTATATAAATATAAATAAAATATATATAAATATTTTATTTTTTTACTATCGAACAAGAACTAGCAATGGATTGAAGAGTCTATTGGTGTTACACTTATGGATCACAAGCTCTTTTAGGGTGTTTCCATTACTGGATTCTCTTAATGCTGCACTAGTATGCTCGAATATTGCTCATATCAACTTTCTCATCCCATATCTCGCTTCCGCGTTCGTTGATTTTCGTGCTTTCTTCAGAAAATTCATATCTTCTATTTTTAAGTGCCACATTCATACCACGTTCAGGTAAAACAATCAATTATTCCTATTTGGCTTTTACGACACCCTGTAGTATATCAAAGCAATTTAATTTGCAAGTGTCATGAGAATGGCCGGAAGATTGGATGGCAGGAGAGGACGAAAGAAAGCCAGGGGTCAACTGGGAATTGAACCGGACTGTCAGGTGTGCTAACACTACACCACCAAACCCGGGACATTCAATCGTGCCTCTCCATGCCATCCATATCATTACACAAGTAAATCTGAAGATCCGGTAGACTCTTCGGGAAGAAGTCAACCAGTCACAAATGCATTATATGGATTTTTCTTAATGAAAGGTAAATTCCCGTTTCCTCCAGGTTACTATTCTTGGCGAAATACGATGACCGGGTCGTGGTTCATCCAATCCCTATGCGAGGTCCTCCTCGACCATTCCGACGAGGAAGACCTGCTGAGCATGATGACGGAGGTGGCCCGTCGTGTGGCATTCGACTTCGAGTCCAACCTCCCCGACAGGGCGGGGATGCACCGCAAGAAGCAGGTGCCTTTCCTCACGAGCACCCTCACCCGTCGAGTCTTCTTCATCCCACGCGAAGAAGAGGTGAAACTTCCTCTTCCAGACAATCTCAGTTCCTAGTCGAAATTTCGGCAGGGAAAAGAAATTCCAAGTGTCCTGGGTTATACGCTATATGCCACCTGTATATTTCTTGCACATCCTGAAAAATGTCCTGAATTCATAGTGCTTATTCTTCGTTTCCTATCGGAGGGCACGGCAATATTCTCGTGTGTTTTCTGTCCAGGGTAGTTCCACAAAGTCATTTTGCATTGAACATATCTATCCTCTGAAAGCGTCTGCGAAGGGAGGCCTCACGGATATTCCCAAAAAATTCAATTCGAATTTAACCACCTGATTGTATCAGCTCCATTGTGGATCGGGAAAAAAAAACAGCGCGACATTGGAAGACTAGGGTTCGAATTGGAGCCAGTTCCGTTCATTTTTCCTCATCGAGTGCTGCTACAGTGCATTGCATGTCTAAGGAAATAAAATGCCGAAAGGAGTACATCACCGAAAAGTTTGCATTGGTGGAATGAAGTTCAATTCTTCTGGGAGCATTCCAACAAGCGAAGTAGACTGCATCATAGGAGGAACGAGAATGCTAAGCAAATGTGAACGAGTCTGATTCTCGTGCAGAGTATTACAGAATACGTTTAGGAGTCATGACGTAACCATGGGCAGTGATGCACAACCTGCGGGCCGCATGCGGCCCCTTGGATGCTTCCGGCATTTAAAGAGCTACAGTATATTCATATGCGGCCTATTTCTTCTCATGCTCGAGGGTCGCGGCCCTCGAACCCGAGTCGAAATCTCAATTTGACCCTCTAGGGGGAAAACGTTGTGCACCAATGATGTAGAGGGTTGAAATCCTATGGACAAACAGGACCAAAGAAGACCTCATACTCAATGTTAGAAATGATATGCCTTTTTCATAGCAGTCAAGTTTTCCCAATTTTTTTTTATTAATTGAAACTAATGCGCCTAGGCTAACCGGTATGCTTGTGGATGCGAATTGGCCTCACATATTTGTGAAGCAGGAAAACGGCAAGGAAGATTTTCCCTCGTCTTTCCGATTTAGCGTGGTCATGTCCAATGCAGGACGCTTCGACTAAGCAGGAACATAAATAGCCATTAACACCCTTCATGAATGACGTACTTCCTCTTTGTCAACTCTATGTAGCATTAGAGTGGAATTAGAAAAATTCCATAAATGTACTTGTGCCTAAATACGGATATGAAGATGACGAAAGTACTCCCCATACAGTGAACGTAGTCTATAAATAGTTATTGCTTTAAATCTCTCAAGTGGCTTATGTGATTGCTATTATTCACTTCAACTTCTTTCAGAGATTGATATGCAATCAAGAGTATGTCGACCATAAGCAGGAATTGAACACACCCATAGAACACTAAACGACGCACTGACAAATGTTACTTGGTGATCCCCATGCTTCAAGTCACATGGCGTTACTAAGAATATCAGAGCCAAAAGTGAACTCGTGAATTGAACTCGTGAGCAAAGGCGCTGGCAGTCAGCCCGCCAAGACAGTCAGCGGGCATAGAGGAGGTCGGGTGTCCCGACTTCTTCCGCTTGTCACACTGACTGGCTGTTTTGAGGAAAGTCAACTGAAGCGGGCCACGAGCAGCATGGGAAAAGTACTTTCATGGCCGCTGCAAAGGGAAAAAGGGTGAAAAGGATGAGGAGAAAGTGATCGGCGTGAGCCCTAGCATAGGTGCATGATACAATGACAGACATGAAGTTGATGTTATGCTCCATTCAATTGGGTCTTCAGAAACGAAGGGACCACACACCCATGACATAAAATGTTTTCAAAAGGAAGACTGGAGTGGGGGAGAGTTCGAGCGATGGCAGGAATATATGGAATGGTTCTCGGAATGGGAGTGGTACTCCAGGCTCTCCAGACATGGCACCAATGTAGAACAGGTTCAGTTAACCGTATTCTCCAGAGATGACACCAGCGAAGGACAGGTTCAGTTCTCCAAGTCCCATAGAGATGGCAGGAGTGCAGGGACTGGTCTCGGTTCTCCAAATCCCCCAAAGATGGCGACTGGGGGGACGGGTTTAGTTATCGTATTCTCCAGAAGTGGTGCCCGTGAAGGACAGGTTCAGCTCTTCGAATCCCCCAGAGATGGCACGAGTTTTAGCGCTCCATGCTCTCCAGCCAGCTCCAGGTGCTAGTGAGAATTGTTATGCAGGCTCTCCATGTATGGGCGAGAGAGGAGGAGCGAACTCTCCTATGAGACTGGACGATCCAATAAAGTTCTTCCACTGCCTTCCCCATATCGTGGTGAAGCGTCCCATGGCTTCATTTCTGGCGTAGAGCCAAACTGTCACCATCTCCGCGACTGCGTCCTTTGATCATGCCTCCTGCATTGTATCCTGTCATTCAAGAAATCGAGAGAAAGCCACCGACATTGAGAATACTCCCTCTTCTATTCATATCAAGCAGTAAATATTGATTTAATAAGGATAGTGACCAATGAAGGTACAGACTCACACGTTGCCGGAGACCTGAGACAGCCACCATCGACGCAGGAAACAACTCCGAGAATGTTGCTCACTCAACGGCCTTATATACCCTTCTGGTCCCACCTCCCTCGTCCCCCTCCATTCGTCTCGAGATTCATATCGCCCTTCCGACTCCCCTCCGATCGTATCTGCAAGATACCAGTTTGAAGAATCCCTGCTGAGTACAGGGCGGATCCCTTTCTCCTTGGCCCGTACATCCCTGAGAGACCCCCTCCCCCCGCCCCCCAGCCTTTCGCGTTCACAGTCTTCTTCCCGATCGTCACCCCGACCAGATATCTCCAACATCTCTCTCGCTCAAGCTCATGGCATTTTCCGTTCATAGGGTTTTGCATTCCAGAGTTCCGATCCCAGTCCCTAATCCCACGCAGCGAGAAAGGAGAACTCCTGCCAAGGCGTTCGTGTGTGAAAAGAAGCCGTCCGACCCCGAAAATTTGCGTTGCGCACGTCGGTGAATGTCAAGTAGTCCTGTCTGACTTACAAGGCCCCGGTAATATGAAATGGCTTCACCTGCAACGTGAACGCTTGGTCCGTCTCTGTCTCTATATGGGTTAATCCCCCCCACACACACATTCTTTTCGGATTTGCGAAGGTCGTTTTTATGTCCTAGGAACCGGTGGAACGCTGTTCCAAATGGTCGAGATACGCTTTGGTAACGCCAATACCCGGTTTTTTTTTTTTAACCCTTACCCCGTCACGAAATTTAAAATCCTCGTATTCCTTCTTTGAGAGAATCTAGAGCAGGGGTCGAGAACCTTATTGGCCAGGTGAGCCATATTAAGATTGAGCTAAGGGCTTGTGAGTGAAAGATTTTCAGAACAACAAAATATTTCCTGAAGTTGGCAGCAGACATACGCATTCTTTCATACATGAGAAAAATGGGGAACAACCAAGATTTTCAGCCACGATTCAATGAGCCAAACTTTTCGGCTCGTGAGCCAAATTTGGCTCATGAGCCATAGGTTCCCGACCACAGACTAGAGGAACGAAATCGGGCATGCTTCGCTCATTCGCAACGAAGAATCCAGCAAAGGAAAAACACTGAAGCTATTCCCAGATATGAATTTCATCCCGTTCATCTCCCCCTTCCTGAAGGAAAGAGAAAAACCAATAGAAAAATATTGACTCGGTGATCACAAAAAGCGCTCTCTTTTGTTTGCGATGCAGCTAGCGAGCGAATGAGGGGGGGGGGGGGGGATGCAGGGCCCAAACGGAACCTTCCTCATGGAGACGTCACGCCAACCATGATGGCGCGGTTCTATGCTTCAAATCCCGAGCACATGGTTGCTTGAATATCACCCGCTCAAGGCGGAGCACTTCAGTCAGTCTAGCTGGAATTTGTAGGAAGTTCCTCCTAGTATCGTGGACGATATATCCGAATCTATATCCGAAAACCCGATCGGTTCCTGCCAGTCTAAAGGCAAGAGCAAGGAATAGGCTATAGGCCTAACCTGATTAGGGTCTTTGTCACCAACTTGGCGATGCCACGATGGCCCATTTTATGAGAATTCGAGGGAAAGGCGAATGGAAGGTCTTCATCCGTGATGCCAGTCCTTCAATGGAAATCGAATCCAGTAACTCTCGTGAAAAATAGGTATTTATTTAGTTGCAATAATTAAGCCCAACTTCTCATCAAGGATGTGAAGTGAATCGTTAGATCTTTAATTTTTGGTTTTCCGTGTGGAAGTCCAAAAGTAGTTTGTATTGATGCAATTGTCCTGGTTTTCTAGTCCAGGCCAAGGCCTAACCGCACATAGAGCATTGGATCAGCCGCATAACAGGTTCCTATGGACAGGTCTCAAATTTGCTGTTCAGTTGCATTTCTTTTTTGCTGCTTATAATTAGAGGTGCAATGATATTAAGTTTTGCTCTGGCTTATCCTGGCTTTTGATTTTAGCATGCCTATCTCCATAGTCTGCTGCCCTTTTTCTTGGCTGATTTTCAGAAATGAGCATTACCCCATTCATTGAACATCACTCATCCATTCACATGTGATTGGTTATTTTATAGATATCATCATGAAGTGAAAATGGGAACACAGAGGCCCAAAACAGCCCTTGTGGGAAATGATCTAATTGAACTAAATTACAAGATGGATTATCCTCTTCGAGGAAAAGCCATCGTCTTAACCACGAAGTTTTCCACCCTGCTGAACAGTTTTTGGTTGGTACCAATTGAGATCAGGATAGTTTAGTTCATGCCCTGGAATATTTGGGCTTCAAGGTCACTGTCTTCAATGAGAAAACATTTCAAGAGTTTGTGGAAGTTATTAACAATGGTGAGGACTATGGATATGTATCTTAACGCTTTTTGTTGCATAAGAGATGATGTTATGAAAGATGATGATTTTTAAGCTTTAACATGCCCTCACTTTAGTTGCACAATTTCTGAACAGATGTTTTCGTTTGATGTTAGTGGCCTGGAATTATTTGTTCACATACGTGGACATCATGCATTGAAGGTACAAATAAATTTTCTTGCACTCCATAATTATTTAGAATATGGCCCTCACATTGAAGCTGACTCATTTTATTCTAGGATTCTAGGATTGTGGCAATCATTACAATACCATGATTAGTTCAATATAGTCCCTCTTGTGGACATGCCTTTCTTTTGCAAAAGTTGTTCCATGCAAGAATATATACAGCATGGTTTTTTAGACAATATATTTATCCACTTTCCAAAAATATAGGAAACCTGTGTTGATTCCACTGTTCTTCCATGAAAAGAAAATCCAAGTGCAATAGACAGTATTATTCTGTTTCTTGATTGAATTCATATTCAATTCAATTCTAGGAGCACTTCCATCTATTCTAGGTAGTGATATCTTATGCATTGATGGTTTTGTTTATCGAATGCTGAAGTGGAGCCTCTGAAAATTTGTGTTTTCTCCATTCTCTACTCTGGGGGGTGGTGAGGATTCAATACAGAAACAGTTTATAAAAATCACTAGTACTTTTTCCTAGAAATGAATGTTGTACGAAGAACAAGGAAAACTGGAATAAATGATGGTGATGAATGTCAATCCATCAAAAAGAAGAAGGAAAAGCCTAGCAAAAAACCCTAGCAACCTGAAAATCCTAACAAAAAATAAAAACAAGTTTCCTTTTTAAGCCCATCAAAACCCATTCAATTTTGAATGGATTTTGATGAAGAACAAAATACATTCAAAGAAGTATTACTTTGTAAAAATGTTTGCACAAGCTCTGAGGATATTGATATCTTTATTAACAAGTTTACTACCAAGTGACATGCCTGCATGTCAAAAAGAAGGCCAAGCAGCAGCCTTAGCAGGCCAAGTGTTAAGTACGTGTCTTTAGTCCATAAAAATTTTATTCTAGTCATATACACATCACAAAGGAATGACCACTATACAAGGAAAGCTATGAAAAATGTGCCCTGAACAAACAACCATAGCATTAAAATAACGATATTCCATTAAAGGATTCCTTAGAGGAATCAAATAATCCAGAACAACCCACCACATACTTTAAACCTATAGGCCTTACAATCTGTCTAGACATGTATGTTGTTCAACTGTTTGAGGAGTGGGTTTCTTTAATGCCTGCAAGATCCCCTGTAGTGAATATATGGAAGGTGGGACAGCATCAGCCTGTAAATATACAGGCAAACTCCTCGAAGGGTTAAAGTGGCACCTGAGACATTCATTTTACCTAAATATGTGTTGTCCACATGATGTGAACAAGTTTAAAAGCTGTAGCTGCCAATAACATGCAGATGAGGAACTTGTACTTACTCCAGAGGTAAATTTCTTCTCAGAACTGCATTCCAGTCCTTTTGTAACAATTCCAAAAATTGTTCCATGTCATATCAAAAGAAATCATGTATGAGACACTGGAGTATGGTGGGCACATTCACTCTGATTTAATTCTAATATTTAAGATGTGCACAGATACAGAAATGGCATTTTAGTGCAAGTTATGTAGAATTTTGGTCTAGAAAATGAAATTTTAAGGTTCTCTACAAATATAAATGTTATGCAATAAAGGGTTAACTTAGATCACCATGGATTTAATTCTTCAATATTGTTGATGAATTTCACATGTATGTTTCATTATCAGTCGCTCAGGAGAACCATCAGGAGTGACTGCCTGACGGTGGTTTTCATCAGTCATGCAATAAATGGCTGGCTCTATGCCCATGGCCAAGCATTTTCACCCTGTTTCCTTCTGACCCCATTCAATGACTACCGTTGTCTGTCTTTGGCTGGGAAGCCCAAGATATTCATCTTTCAGGTATGCAACTGGTATTGTACTGCCCTTGCCTCTTTCTGTTCTTGTCATTCACCTCTCAAACCCATTCGCATTCAATGATCTATTAGTATGTCATATTTACATTGGTCCATAGCCTATGTCAATGTCCCATGACCTTTTGTCAACTGACAGTTCATTGAGTGAACTGGATGTAAAAAAAAAAATCTGTGATTCCAATAGTCAATATGGGTGATCTACATAAAATTTGAGAAGACAGCAAAGTCTAAGTCATTTCCTTGTCAAGTACTGAAGTTTCTGATTTGTCAGAATGAATTCTTGAAAGATGAACATTATGTCAACCTAAACTTAATTGCATCCGTACCAGTATTAATTGAGTATACCTTGATTCATACACATTGCTAAGAATGGCAAGGAAGCATGTCGTGAATTTGTACAACTATGTAATAAGGTGCAGTAGATTTGTTGTTTTAATGCTTGCAATATTACTGTGTGTTCTGTTGATAGCAAAAGCACAGCTTCTGCAGGCACTTATGCCCACTAGAATGCCCACTAGACCTGCTTGACACGTGTGGTGTTTTAACACACATTCAATGCAACACAGGAAGGAGGGTCTTTTTTGCTATTAAGTCATGAGTGTTGAACACTACAGTAGTATTGGTGGCAGTACTTGCTCTCTCAAGTGACTAAGTAAACTTGTCAAGAGGAAGTCTTACCCTTTTATTTCAGTCTGAAAATTAAAACTGCTCTCATGGAAAACTGCTACCAGTCAAACCTATAACTAGTACATCAATCAATTTGGCCCTTGGATCTCCTTCCAAAAGGGCTCATTGCCATGTAAGTAATAAATTGCAGTCAGTACTCTGTCAGTATTTAACAAACGGCAAATCACTCACAAAATAATTAAGAAATTCTAGAGAAGTTTTGAATGCAAGTGAATACACTGAGTAGTATTTCATATATTGGGCTCATTTTGATACCAATCAAGCCAAACTTGTGTGCCAAAGAGCCCCTGAAGAACAAGCAACGTCAAAGAGGATGGACTACCTTTCTGACAATTAGCTGGTAGCCACCCAGGATGGTCATGACCTAGCTGCAGGCCTCTGCCTATATTATTCCTCCCACCCTGTGCCAGGCTTGTGCCTAACTTCACGGCTGTGATGTAATGTGAAGTCCTTCATCGGCAGAGAAATGAACCGAACCACCAATTTCTTGTATGCTCATTATGGATATTTCTTGTGTAATTTATTTCTGACATCAACAAGCAATAATGTTTTATATTACTGCTCTAGCCAATTTGAATGACACCCTTGAACATCAATTAAGGATTTGGTCCTTGTATATTTCCTCCATTTTTGTTGATCACTTCTGATGACATCTCTTGGCCTTGAACGTATAAATTCCTGATGCACATCTTAACCCTTTCACCACTGAGTTTTGTTGTGACCAGTAGCACTGTCACACTTCTTTCTTTTCTTTAGTGCATAGGTCATGTGAAGTAGAATACAGGTAGAGAAATACCCTTTATGTCCAACTCTGTTTTCTTGAATTCAAGAGAGTTAGCAATATGCTATCTGAGACTTGTGCTTTTGGCATGACTGAAGTTGCTGAAAATGCTGCTATAGTCCTCTTCAATTTTTTTAAGATCTTACCATTGAAACAACAGATTAATAGTGTCTTTTGTTATAATGCTTGCAGAAATGCATGATTTCACTTCAGAAAATTGTTCAATGCATTTGATGAGCAGTAATCAAGGATATTAAGTGAATAGTAGCAGTACAGGAATTTAAAAAACAGCCAGTTCAAAATTATCCTATTGCATTACCTCATTAGAATACAAGGATGTCAAGGCTTTTTTAATTGATTACTAAATGAAATTTTTTATACATAGACCATGAAATGCTTAAAAGAAAAGCTCTTTATGTATCTGCAATCAACTAGATAACCTAGACAAATAACAAATAGACCTTCATGAAGTGCCTGGCTTTTTTCTCCCTTTTTTTGGCATCTCATTCTAATTTCAATGGATATATACACGATTTCTCCTTCATGGTTAGGTGATTCGGTAAACTGGGATATATGTGGATTTGAAAATGCTTTGCTAACGGAAGAAAATTGTTCCCCCTGTATCCGTCACTGTTTACTGGCTAACAAGTGTATATTTCATGTCTTCTTAGTTGGAGTTTGAAGACTTCGGGCATTCTGCTGCAATCCCGGTGAAACGTATCTATGGAAAAAACAAGATGATGGCATCTGTAATAAAGGATTACATGAAGACCAGAAGACTCCAGGAGTTTGTGCAGAGTCTCAACGAAAGAATTATGCAGATCTGTCACGAGCAAGATGCGACATCAGTCACAAGCCCATAGGAACATAGAAACCAGTTCGTAGTTATCACTCACTAAAAATCTTCAACATTGAATCTCAATACTTACAAAAAAAATGCTTTACACTGTCACATTTCTGCACTGTCTTGACAGAGTTCATGGATGCCTTGCAGAGTCCCCAGGGTCACAAACTTCAATCCCTCTAGCCACCTCCTGCGCCCAAGAACTGCTAAGTAGGACAGCCAACACCGGAAAGAGGATTATCAGCTCCGAACGGAAAAGGACACACAGACAAGCTAAGCCTGCAGAACGGCATAAAGCCTGCTTTTATGGTACTTTGGGAGAGCATTGTCCTCTTTAATCTCGAGCTTCATTGGAAGCGATATCACAATGCACTCAAATATGAATAATTTGAGCAGTCTATGTAGGGGTCAGAAAAACAACGAAATATTGAAGAAAAAAATTGTATGGGGTAGGGAATGCCAATAAATAATATGCATGTAGTTTCAATTACAGTTTCCATTTGAATTCAATCGTAGATAGCTTCCTGATGCAAAACAACCATATCTGAAAAGTTGAAATGCTTGCTATGCTGCTAGTCTAAGGAGAGAAACCTTCTGTCTAGGGCTGTACCGATGGTCACATTTGGATAACTATTGTCTCATACCTATTGGCTGGCGCCGGTGCCGATGTTTATTGTGAAGTAGAGAGAAACAGGTAATAACCATTTTATTAAATATTTATTGAAATTGACCTATTCATGCCGTTGTTCATGCCATTTATAGCCATGTTCTATTTTCTTCTGTCGCGCTAGGTGTTTAAAAAATATTGAAGTATCGAAATGAGGCATAATGCATTGATGAAATCAGGGAGGGGGGATCGGCGGATTCAGTCTTTTCTCACTGTGATGGGGTGGAGGCATCCTTTCTTCGTTTCTTGCCTTGCTTGGGGTGCCCATCTCAATCTGTACTCCGAAATCTGTCGCCTGTGATCGGAGAGTGCGAGAAAGAGGGGAGGGGGTGGAGTGCGACCTTCTCTACGGGTAATAAAAGCCTACCATTCCAACTATCGAAAATGACATTCATTCATCAATGGATGCAACGAGTGGGACCGAGTTTTTCCTATTGCTGTTGATAATCAATTGCCAATCCCTGTTCATATATTTTTCTTTTCCTTTGATACATTACGCATGTTCTTCTTAGGACATCGGCACTTGCAGCTTGTAAACCGGCCGATGGCGCATATTGAACCATACAGGCGGCTGATAACAGAAGTTGCCGATATATTGGTACAGCCCTAGTTTTGACATGTTTTACTTATAACGAATATGCCCAGAATATGAAGTGCACACCAAGATTTCCCATTTTCATCAAGGCATACTGATGAAATGAGATTGTTCCATTCTCACCACAGGGACTCATCAGATACCCCTGAGGATGATACGGCAAAGCTGTGCAGCTGCGAGGTCTTTTTCGACAGAGGCAAAAGATGTCCTGAAGAAGCAAATCCTATGGGAAGGACAAGACATGGGTTGCCTAACTTCTGATTCTCGTCGCATCTATGCCCGGGACCGTGAGATTCGATGCAAATTACGTGAGTTTATTTGAATCAATTATGAAACAGCTCATGCCCACTTTTCAACTAGCAAGAGTACTTGATGATCATTTGAATGCATAGTTGAAACAGCTTATCAGGAGATGAGAGTAATTTACGAGCACATGATTTTACAGATCCATGCCTATTCATATGAGGTTGTGGCTGGCCAGCATATAGTCCAGGCTAGAAAAGAACTGTTGGAGGAGACACCAACTGGTAAAGATACTTGCACATGTGCCGTCTATGTGGGGGTCACGGAAGCAGAGAAGCGGATGCTGGCTCTACATAATGCCAAACTTCAAGCAGTTCCTTATAATGTGCTTGATGTTGTGAGTTTGTTGTCGCACTTTCCCTCTTGATAACTTGTATATGATTTGGTTGTTAGGGTATTCTGTGACATCAAGTAGTGAAATGACTTGACTCTTTGAAGCATTCAACAATGGCATGTAAGAGTCCTCTGTTCAGTACTGATAACACTCTCTTCCATGCTTCCAGCTGCAAAAATACCATGAGATGCAGGAAGCTGCAACTGATGGGGAAATTCCAAAGGAATACACCGACACTCTGAAGGTAAGGTAGACCCTGTGTTCCCTGCTTCTATGCCTTTTTAAAAATATACGTTAAGACCGACATTAGCAGCGAAAAAAGCACGGGCATATATTGAAGGGTGCAGTGCCCCACAATGTAATACTCTGGGTACTGAATATTTTGATGTCCAAGAATAATTCATGTGCGCTTTCTTACCTGTGCATGCATCATTTTTATTTTTTATGAATTGCTGGTATTGTAATTGCTAAGTGATGACATGAGTTACATGATTTATCAGGCCAGGAAAAGAGACAAGTAATCAACAACTTGCTCCGCATGGGACCTCCAGTGGTGAAGGTATTCCTCATGATGGGTAAACGACTTGAAGATGCCGACCCAGGCTGTGTATCTAAAAAACTGTACCACCTGAGACATTTGGGCAACCCAAGCATTTCCTCAAATGATTTCCTGGTAAGCCGAATGCCGAGAAATATTCTACGTTTACAGTAAAAAATTTCCCATATACTTTTCGAAGCGTGTGAACTCATCTTAATGCATAAATTCAATATATTGACAGGAAAGCCTGAAGGTGGTGAACTGTGCTGGTGACATGAAGAAGCTTGGGAATAACCTGGAAGATGTCATCCGGAAGAAGACCTTAAGAACTTCATTTTCCAAGTATAATTCCATCATTTGACCCTCATTCGTATTTGTTATCTGAAGTATCGACATCAATGATGAAAAAGTTCATTTATTATTGTTTTTTCGAGCCCAGCCCTAAGCATCGCAGAATAGAAAAAAAAGCACTTCAAATATCGAAATTTTACAGGCTTGCTGGAATAAGGGAGGAAGAGATGGACCACAGGTATCCACAGCATGTGACAGACGAGGCACTCAAACCTTTCATGAGATTGAAAAACCCAGAGAAGGAGAAAGAATGGAAGGGCTATGTGGAACTATGTATAGGCAGACAAGTAACACAGAATACTGAAGAACTGGGAGCTAACTCTGAGATAATCACAGTTCTTGGAAGTCACCTTGAGGTGCCTTAGGGTTGTTTTGATCAACCATTTCGTAGCGCCGTATTCGCATTTGAGGTGAGCATGCAATAATATATCAGCCTTCCCATCCTTCTCTTTATGTTAAAAAAAGGCATTTTCTTTGCTCTTATTCCTTCTCACAGAGCTTAGGAGAAGCTGAAAAATGCCTCTTAGGTCTTCATGACCATCAGGGTCGCTTCCATGGTGACAAAAATATCCCCACAGCCTTCATGGTGGATGACATTAAACAGGCTGCAGCCATCCAGGAATCCCTTAGAAGTCACTGCCTTAAAACTGGTATTGCCATCATCGACAAGGCTGAAAGTGAAGGTGGGTTCCTGAATTTTCTGATATTTCGTCGTTTTGATCGCATTCCAGGGAAGGTTTCTTCATCTGATTACAGGGGAACTTTTCGCGCAACACCACGCATATGCTGTCGTTGCTAGCACGCGCAAGATTCCTCTAGCAACAACTGTCCTAAGCAGGAAGGAGTTCCTCACCTCTATTGGCCAATTAAATGGTTGGCTTCTTTCCAACATTAGGGGATTGAGTGAGTCATTTATATTTAATGAAGGATGTATATATGTCTCATGATCGCAGCCTTTCTCCGTGTTTATGGCAGCACAGGGGCATGACAGAATATGGATTTTTCTCACGTTCCAGAGAAACGGGAGCTGCCATCCCCATTGAAATTATTGTCCCCCGTACCTGTGGAGTTGGAGGCCCCCGTGGAAGGGATATCTTCAGAGAGGATGGATGAGGCAGATTTGGGATCAGATAATGACATAACTCAGTATAAACTACAAAAGTTATTTTCTGTCATAATGCATTTCATACCTTTCTTGATGGACCCTTTCCTGATTCTAGTATATTATGGAGTTTCTATGTCTCTGACTTGCTCCAAATAATCTATGATACCTGTCCTGCAAAAATAGATCTCATTCTTAAAATGTAAATATTCCTCATCTTAAAAAATTTCTGATCCAGAACTAATGCCGTCATTGTTCCCAGGCAGCAACTCTCTGAGAGCATTGTCGCGGGCTTCTGTGATGACATTGAATTGGATCTTCAAGGGTGATTCATCGTTGGAGCAGAAGAAGGTACAAGGTATGCACTCACAAATTATATGGAAGGTCTTCTTTACTTCATTTATGTCTTGCTCATTTATAGTCGTTTCTATCGAACTTGAAACACATCACTGAAAATTGCAATTATTGGACTCCGTGCAACTTCTTTTTTTTTTAAGTATTCAGAGGTTTTCAAGAACATGCTCATGCATTAATTTATTCGAGTTGGTTCTAAAAACGAAACTCTTAATTTTTCTTTAAAAATTATTTTGCAGAATCCCAAGAGTTCAATGCCTGTCAGTATCACTGGAATATTAAGTTGAACATGACATCATGGCAAAGGTTATGACTCGATGAGATATTGAGTCAGAAGTACACCTGCTCGTGAGTCCTATAGGTCAAATTAAATATGATACATTTTCTTAACACATCAGAAAAAGGTAATGTTTCTTTTGAGCAGGTTTTTTCATTGGAGGGCAAATAAGGGTATATTGCGGTATAGGGGGTAGATAAGGGTAGTTGAAATGCCGCCATTTAAATGGATGATGCGTCGTGGATGAATCCTCTGCGATAAACGACATATCATGAACTTCCCAAAAGTAACGCCGCCGTCTTCCAAAAAGAATTTTCGCTGAGAGAAACTGCAGAGGTTTTTTGTGACCTGCAGTTGAGGAAGGATGACAAGCCCCATGCCTTTCCTTCGGGAACCTGGAATGGGTGTCCTGATGAAAAAAAAAAAAGAGGAAAGAATTTTGCATTTTCTCATCTTGCAACGAAGGGCGAAGAATAGCTGTGATCCCGCACTCGTGGCGACGTTCTCGACGAGGGCCTTCAATGACGGGAGCCCACTTTTTCTCCAGAAATAGTGCCGGTGATGCAGATCTGTTCTGCAGCCTCTCCAAAATATGGTGCCCCATGGGTGTGCCTCAGTCAGTGGCATTGAGATGGAGGGGGGGGGGGGCGGGAAGGGTTGAAGAACCCCCTCTCCCCTATTAGCCCCCCTTTGGCAAAATCTGGCTATGCTGCTGGCCTCATTTCATCAGTTGACCTCAGTCTCATCGAACAGATTCACCCATGAAACCATGCAATGATCTATACTGCAACAATGTCTTCCCAATTTGTGCACGCTTCTGATAGTGTTCTCAGCTGCATAAAAAAATTCCCATGAAAATGAGGCATCACAGGAATCCTCACATACAAGTGTCCTTTTCTCCACATTGAAGTTTTGTTCTCTCATTGAACACGAGATACGTTTATCTTAATCACAAAGCATCATTTTATTGAAAGAAACCGACTGGGGATCACCTTCAGAGAAGCTAGACACACCGAAATCGTCTGCACAAGCCTCGGAGATCATCCAAATTGCCACAGTTGAATAATGAATCACCAGGCACAGCCAAAGCAGGTCACCAGCAACATCAAGATACAAAAAGAATAGCAATATCAGGCAATGCTGACTACGAAGGCAGGCAAAATTCAAGGCATCAGTTAGTGAAGTCATAGAAAAAGCAAATCATATGACTTGATCTTGAGATCAACAAATCAACACTCCATCGAGATAAATGTGAGCACGAGCACAAAAAAACCAAAGAGAAACGTGTTGCACGATGGCAATATTGTGGTCAGGTACGGCATTATGGGGCTTGAATCTTGTTCTATGCTGTTGAGTAAGGTCACATGATGGAAGAAGGTCATATTCAAAAAAATATCTCAGGCAGGGTGAAAGACTTTCATGCCGAAAGACACAATCTGAGACCTATTCCAATATTTAACACATAATTCAAGACATTTCCAAGGCAGTGATACAATATTGCCAATGTAAATTAATTGCCACTGGTACTACTTCAGTAACTCTGAGTGAGATCAAACAACAATATGGCTGAAGGAAATTCCATATGTATCATCTTGAAAGACTTCTTGCAAGAACTATCAAGCTATGACTAAGTTGAGTAATTTCAGAATGACTTCCACTTCCCATCCGCCTTTTATGTGGGCTCAATGCACTTCAAGCCCTATTCATTTTGATACAGTAGTTCTCTCAGTCTTGAGATGGGTTCCACTCAATCCATCATCATACCCCTCAGCCCCGGGTCAAGATTATACTCACTGAAGTGTAGCTCAAGTGCTGTCAGCAACAGCACCAGGAGCAGATGGGTCAATATGGTGTGTTGGCCACCAATGCAGCCTAGTTTTCTTCTCTCTCTTTGTCTTTCCATTCCTCTCCCATCTTTTCTCTCTTCCCATCCTGGAATCAGGCTCTCCTTTATCTCTCCCTCTTATATGGCTGCTTTCTCACAGTTGTGGATCTTGACAAGTTGATATATGGCTCAGCATGAAATCTCACCATCACATCACACCTGAGTTGACTGGAACACACTAGCTTTGAATCAAGATGCAGCTGCAAGACCATCCTGGGATGAGTGGTACTCATCACTTGAGGGATTTGGAGGCTCGTCATCCCAGGGTGAGGGGGGGGGGGTGGGTCTTGCCAATAGTTTGCTTTCTGTTTCAGAATGTAGCTCATGAGGCATTGCCAACTGTCGCCAAAATAAACAACAACTCCAATACCAGGGGCAGGGGAGGTCAATCCAAAAACACTTTGCCCTATGGTGGGGGGAATTTTAAGCCATGCCAGAAGGGGTGATGGAACCCCTCTGCACGGGGTTGAAGAAAACCCGACGGGTGAGGGTGCTCGTGAGGAAGGGAACCTGCTTCTTCCGGTGCATCGTTGCATTCCCGGGGACGTTGGACTCATAGTCGAATGCCACTTGACGTGACACCTCTGTCATCATGGTCAGCAAATCTTCATCACGCGAGTGTTTCAGAAGAACATCGCACAGGGCCTGGATGAACCAGGACCCACAGCTTGTGTTTCGCCAGGAAAAGAAGCCTGAAAAAACATTGGGTTTCACATCTTCATACTATCCAGTGGATAACAAGCTCATAACTCTTTGGAAGAAGAGTGACATCAACCAAAGAAATTGGGATTATTTTTGTACTTTTCCTCTCTTCTTCACCTATTCTTTATGTCATCACAAAAATTGTTGAGTACAGTGACAGGGTGTTGCATATCTTTCTTAGAATAGCTTTCCCCACAATATACCTAACTAAAGATAAAGTTACTTCATGATAAGATACCATGCAGAGGTATACAATAGTCTGTCATAATTCTAAGTTATCTCCATAATCTGGTATTGTCAAGGAGGAAAATCAACATTTTCCATGCAAGAATGTCTGACTGCTGGTTCTGTGTAGCAACTTACAAGGGCCCTTCCTTTTGGGCATGAATTAATTTAGCCTACTGGGGAAGTGAAGAGGGTATGTGCCATCCTGTGGAAGAATGGGACAATTGCAAGATGAAATTCTTTTAAGGGGTTCTAAAAGGTCACATGTGAAGTGGGCCTCCAGCATCTTGAAAACCCATATTCCATACAGTATTCTACAAATCATTAGAGAGGTGAAGATGAGCATCATACCTGGGACAGTGGAGTATGTGATCAGAAAGTCTGCATGGATGGGAATCCTGTACGAATCCGTATCGTGTCTGGAGTCCGTCTCGGTCCTGTTGCTCATCAAGGTCACTCCTTCGTCCAGACCTTTTCCTTGACACGCCTGGAAAAGACAGCCCGAATTAATTAGCCACTTAAGTGATGAATTTCCCAATGAACAAAGAATAATTAAAGAATGTCCAAAACCTTATGGAAAGATTTCCTTTGCACTGACTAACACCATGGGTACCATTAGATGTAAATCAAGTAGGAAAGTAAATATGACCATGGTCTGCATGCATTTGGTGAGCAAGGAAAAACAAAACCAATGACAAAATCCGATGGGCAATGATAGACATCAAAGCTGTTCATCCTTTCAATTAAATTTGAACATTCACATATTTTGGTGTGCAAACAGCATGGGTGAAGCATTGCCAAGCAGTTGCAACTGAGCTGTCTAGAGTTTTTCCAAGGTTCAAGAAGGCCATGAGTAAGGCTGCCTGAATGGTTTAAACTCTGGCAACAGATCATCCTCTGAAGGTTCAATCAGATTCTGCAATTTTCTTCACATGCAATGGCTCATATTGAGCCATGAGGTCATGTGACCATATACATGTTGTAGATGCATGTGAGTATCAAACCATTTATTAAGGCTCGGGACATCCTTTTCTGATTATGGATCCAGCACTAAATATGCCTCCTAACAGGTCAGTCTGATCCATTGGCTTCCCATGATGTTCCCAGGTCAGCCAGACATGACAGAATTGAAACGAAGCAACCTTTTACAAGAGACAGTGTTCATGGAAGGTAACTTCAGGAACGTGAAGACCTGGGTATTACGCAACAGTCAACTCCCTATTATCTGGACTACTCACATGGAACAATTATTTTTCAATGATTTCCTCTGTATTTATTGAAAACTAGATAGAGTGACCATCTCCTTTTTTTCTCCTTTCCTAAATGAGAAAAATATACTGAGTACAACAGTATATCTAAATTTTATGGCCCTTATGTTTGAAAGTTCTTGCTTAGCACCCTGTCCCCCCCCCCCTTGACATGATCTCAGCCACAACAGTAAAAGGGAAAATGAACACATGCAAATTCATCAGCATCTACCCCTTCTCCCCCCATATTGACTGGAAAGATAACACAAGTCAAGATCTTGAGGTATATAATTCCCCATGATGAAATTGATAAAATCCTCACAACAAATTGATCTCTTGATGTAAATGAAAGGAAAAACTTCCTGAGGAAATAAATTTTTCTCAGGATCAAGGTGGTTTTTGCCTTCCACTGTTTCTTGCTGCTTTTAATGAGGAAGTACCAGGTTCCCAAGTGGGCTAGGCTAGGCTAGAACCATTAACACGTTGACGACCAGCCTATTTTTGCTTGTCTGCCGCGTGGGACCACGTGCATTTTTTTTTTTTTTAAATGCGTCCTGACATCAGGACGCATGGTCCCAGAAAACATTTTTTTGCCGAGTTTTTTTTTAATGTTGAATTTTTTGGAATTTTTATCAGTAATTACGAAATCATAATCTTCTGGAACGTTCTCAACGGTTCCAGAGAGTATCTGCGCACAAGACGTTTTTGGAACCTGCATCCTGCCATCAGGACGCATTGTCCCACGTGGCAAAAAATCTGCATCCTGGCATCAGGACGCATTGTCGCCAACGTGTTAAGAAAGCTAATAAAACCACCAATGCCTTCAACTATCAATGCAGCCTGAATTTCAGTGCTCATTCACAAATCTTGTCTGGTGTCACACTGAGTGAACAAGGATATGGCAACACCTTTCAAAACATCTTCATGAAACATGTTTGTAGCTCTCTTTCACGATTTGGTGTGAAGCCAATCCTAGCCCATTGACAATGACCTTTCAAAAGATACACTGCAAAGGGAAACAATGCTTCAAAGGAATCCGAAAAAAAATCTGAAAGACATAAATCTGTGGAAAAAAAATACCTGAACAAAAAACAGCTTGGGTTTCCCAGCCAAGGTAGGACAAACATCAGCAGTGAACGCTCCCCAAATGCGGTCAGGCTTGAACGGTTGGTCGTATGCATAAAGCAAGCCGTTTTCTCCGTGACTCAGGAAGCACACAGCAAGGCAGTCATAGTGCTGATGATTCTCCATGGCGACTACCATGACAAAAAAAAACAAAACAATGAGGAACTGCTAAGCAAATAACTGTATACCATTCTGGAAACAAAGAAACTCACCATTATCAATAATTTCTCTGATCTGCTTGAAGGCTTTGTCGTTGAAGACGTGGATCTCGAAGCCGAGAAGGCCGAGAGTGTGAACCAGGCGATCCCGGTCCTGGTCCGTGCCGTTTCGCACGCTCAGATCCAGGTCCCTGTGGAAGACTTTGTTGTTGAACACCAGGGCTTTGCCTCTTTGCGGATGATTCATCTTGTAGTCCCGGGCTTGCCTCGACACTCCGACCTTGATGGGACCGGAAGGCTGACTCCACATCGTGCTTGCACGATCATAGGGGCTGTGAGAAATCGTGACACACGCGTCCACATAAACGGGTATATCACACGAAGGCATGACATTGCACCACATGTAATTCTACTCAGGCTTGTATACCCAGCTTATCACTCTACAAGGTGCTACCCAGTGGATAACACCATACCATCTCAGATAAAGTATTCCTTATCTGAGATGGTATCAGCACCTTGGGTAATGTACCCATAAAGTGAGACTTGTCAAGTTTTGTCATGCTTTCCCTAACAGTTCAAAAATCATGCACTTAGTAAAATTCTACCCACCTACATCTATCACTCAAATACCACCAAAAACCCAGCACGTGTGAAGATGGAATTGGAAGTGGATCCACTTGAAAAGCGTATGGAATAGACAGGTAGTTCCAGTCGGTATGCAAATAGATAGGACGGAAGGATGGTATATTCCTTCCTTGCATAAAACTCCACTCATCAGGCACACTAACATGTTCTATCAATGGGGCTTATAATTGTTAGAATATGGATCCAAGGAGTAATCTCTATTGTGCAAAAACATTGCTCAACCCGAAATATTTATTCATGCAATGGCTCTCCCAGAATGCTCCAACCTGTTGATGCTTCAGATCCCTTCCATCCCATTTCTCCAAACTCTACATTGGCACTATGGTAGGTGATACAAATTCCAACACATTAGCTCAAAAAACTGCCCTCTCACCCACAGTTTGAAATAGATATTTTTGGGATCCATGCCAACTGAGAGGAAAATGCACACACTGCCCATTCCCGTTTAGAGACCAAACATTGGTGCAATTTGGTTGAAAAAGGTTGTTTGCACTTCTGATTACATTAAAATGTTTAACGTGGGGCGGACTTTATAGTTGGGTCAGAATTTGTACCACCCACCCTATCCCTTTTTTTCCCTATCCCTATTCTTTCACATTGCCAACATTTACACAATGCTGGCACGTTTGACAATTTGATGCAATGTACCAAGCATGCAATAAACTTCGGTCTAGGGCTATCTTCTCGGAGGGGGTCACGCCTCCACAGAAGCTTTATGTCGACCCGTCGGCTTTCTCAGAGCAACAAAGAATCTCACATTAAATTGGTTTGCAGGGTGACACCAGCAAACCTGTCATCGATCCACTCGAACAGCTGCATTTATGGCAGGTCGATGCTAAGCTAATTACACATACTCATTTCCCAGGTGGACCTGGCACTAAACGAGACCCACTCTTCAGAACTGATCAGACCATGCCCTCACCCTGCAGAATGCGATCCCTTGGCATCGGACTTGGCATCCGGGTGATCGCCGTCGGCCCCTCCATCAGACCCATTGACACCCGACAGACTCAGCGGGAAAGCCCGTCCAGCCCCCACCACATCGGCAGACTCCTCGCCATCGCCTTCTTCTCTCCTCGACATCGGAAAGGTCTCGGGGATCTCCATCGACGGCCGCGTGTCGACTTCATCAACTTCTCGCGCCGGGAAAGTCATCTCTGACGACCGTAAGGAAACGAAAAGTCACCAGCAGGCCTAAAGGCAAGGCTAGGCCTAAGCTCCCACCCGCCTACCTTCGTGACTCCGCAGATGAACCTCCTCGTCCAAGGTCCGATGCGAATACGTCAGATCCGTCGTCACGGTGAGCCCCCCGAGTCTCGTCTGCCCCCCCGCGAACGACGAACTCCTCGCCTTCTCGTCGTCCGTCCTCATCGACGCCACCCCTCCCTCGTTCCCCGATCGAGGCCGCGACATCCCGCCTCTCGCCTTCGCGACCACGGACACGCGAACGCAGCAGACAAAGATAAGCAATTATTGCACGCTGCTTACTGCGACGCCATGGCTATGATGACTCGCGCCTCGCGCATGCGCAGTCCCAAACGACGACTCGCAAATTGATCACCGCTTCAAACGTAGGATCCGTGCGCTCCCGTTTCATTTCCTTGCGGGTGATATCACTTTACCACCTTAGGCGCGCCATAGAAGAAACTTCCAAGATGCCAAAGGCTTACGAGTTCGATCTCGAATCATTGCGTGTCGTGAGCCGATCGACAGTTATGCAAGGATTCCTCGAATCCGTTCCGCGATTTCTGCCTCTCTGCACTACCAAGCGATCGCGTTTACACGGCCGAAATCGACTATCACAGACCTGAAAGGGTGAGCGTAGAATTCGCACCGAGACGGATCGCGTCGCCCGTTTGGTCCTTTTGGCACGTTTTCGAGGCGGACTCGCGTCTCGTTTCCGTTGCAGAGGAATTCGAACTGGGAGGGAAAACGACTGGGAAATTCTCGCAGGGAATCTCGAGTGACGGAGTTCCTACCGAGAAGCGAGAAAAATCGGTGCGAATCCCCTCGCTAAGTGGCGAACGATTAGATAAGATAACGGACCCATTCGCACCATCGTGATTACACAGAGAAAAAAAAAAGCCTCGACAGAAATCCTTTCCGCGAAGGCCCGACCGCCTGTTTGCACGAACAAACGGCTGCGTCTGCACCCTCGCGAGTCAAACATTGACACACTCCGTTCGTAAATGCCTCATTGCCCTTTATTCACACAAGAGAATTGCCATTTATATACACGAGAGAATACATAGCAGCAAAATCTCATACAAATCCATAAAATAAAAATCCTTGAAACCTTCTCCCACCCCCGACATCCTCCTCCCACCTCCGACGTCCTCCTCTCCGCCTCAGTTCATGACCGACGACGTCCTCCGCGGCGACGTGAGGTACAGGTCCCTCGTCAACGTGTACGTCACGGTCGGCGTCTGCTTCTTCTGGTGCAATGCCCTCCTGTCCGGATCGAAGGACTCGTTCTCCAGCGCCACCCGCCGGTTCACGACGGTCAGCATGCGGAGCACGTCCGTCTTCGCCGACTCCTCCATCAGGACGTCGCACAGGGCCTGGATGAACCACGACCCGTTCTTCTCTCGGAAGGAAAAGTGCCCTGTGAAAAAAAACGGGGTCCCATGAGCGAATTTAGTGTCCGTGAGGAATCGTCCTGCGCATGCAAAGGAGCAGTAGCGTCGAAGAAGCATGTGTCAATGTCACAGCAAATAAAGAGATAAGGAAGCCTCCAAGATAAAAGACTCATTTCGGAAGAAAGACGGCGTCACGAACGAATCCGACGACGTCACCGATAATTGATCACCCATCATCACCCCCGTCCACCCCCATCCCCACCCCCCCTTGCCCCCCCCTCGCCCCCTCGCCTCATGAACCGCCTAATAAAAACGTCGTTATCGCGACGCGGCCACATCCATTTCCCCTCCTCCGCTGCCGACGCCATCTCATGCATGAAAACGTTCGGAGAGAAGAGAATGGGTCAGTCAGTCCGTCTCCTGGCTCCTTCATCCATCCCCCGACTAATGCAAATGAACTACCAGCCTCTAATAACAATAAATATTTAAAGGAATTGTAATACCACGAGGTAAAAGAGACTCATCCGAACCAAATCCATTACCGAGACTGCCTGCTGAGAGGGCTGTCATTTTGGAAGAGGCCAACGTGATGCACCTTTTAAAAAAAATTAACATGTGCATTGCTCGTTCACTGTCATTTTTGATGCTTCAATTTTGAAAATGTATTGCATTTGAAGCACTGGGTGGATTTCTTTTGCACATGGTAGGAATCTTTCTCATTCACCTGAAATGCCATGCGCAAAAACGCACGAGTCTTACATA